AGGGGACAGCACAACCTTCTTTCTCCAGCAGGATGAGGAATGATCTCTCTTTTCCTAGAAATAGGGGGCTGCAAGGGTGCTCCCAGGTCACCGGGTCCACATGAGCAGCAAAACTTTTGGACCACTAAACATGGTTAGTTTGGCCTTCCTGGCAGCTTTGAAACTGGGAAAAGGAAAATCACTCTTCACTGAGTGGAGTTTCATGCGGCTTTCACCCTGAACCAAGGGCATTTTCAATCAATGGAAAGAGATAATGAATGCAGTGTTTTGCAGAGGCACAGCAGATCCGAGCAAAATCTTGCCCCTGCCAAAATGATCCTGAAACTTCTCTTCTACAGAATGCATTCCAGATAGCTGTTTTTTCTCATTGGCCGACAGTAGCATGACCGAACTGTTTCTATTCTTGATGGAAGATGCTCCATATCTACTCACTTTCAACGTGCCATCCATCCTACAGGCATCTTGGCACCTCCAGGACAATAAAAGCGAAAATTAAAGCCACTTTCACCTGACAACAACCTGCTGCTGCTTCTACTGCTGGAAAGAAAATTGCTTTGGGGCTGAATTAGTCTCGCTGTTCAGAAAGTGCTGTGTGCTAGGAAACGGGTCTGTACTAAAGTTCATAGTTAAGGAAAAAGATTAAGCCCATGGGGTCGACTGTGATGAATATGGCTCCCAAGAGGACATCGTTTTTGAAACCTTTCAAATACCTCCTAAACATAAACACGCTTGCCCACACGCAGACTCAGCAAGTGTGGCGTGACTGCGGCTGCAACGGTGCTTCAAGGAAATGGCTATACCCACGTATCTAATGTGCTTTGGACGATAATGGGAAAATACAGCAGTCAGGAGGGAGCGGGAAGATTTTGGTCACGTGCGGCAAGAAACGATCCTTTTTGAGAGACCTTGTTCAAACGCATCATTTAAAACGTGGGGGAAATGGAAGTATAATAAAAGCTGAGGCAGGCTTCACATTCATCTATTTACTTGTTGGTTTAATAACTCATCTCTGGCTACTGTGCCTGCAGTAGTTTAAGCAAGCTTTCCAACAGAGAGAGCATATTCTATCTCACATCTCCACGGTCTCCCTTCAATTTCCCACTTGGATGGACTGTAACACATCCCAATAGTTTACTCTGCATGAAGCCTTTTGTTCTGCGAAAACCATGCCCTATAACTTCTTTTCAGGGGCTGGCTTCTTTTAAATGAAAGCAGCCTGATAAAGATAGCATGTGGGCTTTTTTCCCCCACCTCCCAAGCTTCAGCTCTTTGGTCATTAACAGGCTATCTATGTCCATTTAAACATTAAAGTGTTCAAAGAGACAGATTTGCTCAGATTTGTCAAAGAGCACTGGAGTGCCAAGGCTCAGACAACTGCCTTCCTAATTATTACAATTCCTGGTGGAAGCAGGGTGAGAGGACATGAAGCAGAAATTAGGGTTGTTGTGTATGTGGGCAGCTCACTGAGACTGGTCTCAGTGGGGGCAGACGACAGGACAAGGAGCAATGGGCTCAAATTGCAGCAAGGGAAGAGGAGGTTGGATATTAGGAAAAACTCCCTCACTAGGAGGGTGGTGAAGCACTGAAACGGGTTACCCAGAGACGTGGTGCAGTCTCCATCCTTGATGGTTTTTAAGACCCAGGTAAACAAAGCCTTGTCTGGGATGATGTAGTCAGGGCTAGTCCTGCTTGGAGCAGGGGGTTGGACTAGATGTGACCCCTGAGCTCCCCTGCAACCCTCATTTTCTATGAGTCTATGATTCACCAAATCTGGCCTCTTAGAGCTATCGGACTCCATAGCACATGACCTCTCCTCCTGGCCACCCTGATTTCATAGCGGCATGCTCAGGGGCAACCAGCACGGGTTCATCAGCGGC